TCACACTTCACCAGAAACATCCAAAAAAATATATTTTACATATATTATATACTTCTAATACTTGCTGTCACTCACCAATATACATCGTAAAAGCTACGGCATGGCGTAACAAGCTGTAGCGGTACACACAGGTATATCAAGTGCTACGAACTCAAGCGCTACGAGTGCTACGCCTCGTGGTACGTTTTGGGCTACGATTTTTTCCGTTCAAATTATTTTACAAAAGTGTGATTTGATTTTGGTTTTATAGTTTTATATACTACTCTGTATGTATTGTACCTGAAGCGATATTGATATCGAGTATTACTTGAAGTTTCATTTCAAAGTAGAAATTAGAGACTAAGCTCTATTTTGCCGCCCCTGGACAAGATGTAATGTTCGAATTACATGACATAATATTACGTCTTTTAATTTTATAATGGTAGGCAGTGGTACACATTTACACATGTAATACAGGTGAGCCTATTGCTATAGATAATTCCAGACTCAATGTTTATTGAGATATTTTACATAAGAGACATTGGACTCATAACATAAATAGTGAAAAGTGGGTGCTACATTGTGTAAATGTGCACCTCTGCCTACACCTTCAGGTATAAAAGGCTTGATGTTATTTTATGTTAATTTTTATTCTACGAGAACGCGGACAAAGCTGTAAGCAGAAGCTAGAATATCATACACATACTCATATAATATTATATTTTTTTTGTTGCCGTTCAAAAGTGCCATTCTGGCCTAATTGAAATAAATGATTTTGTCTTTTACTTTGACTTTATATATATGTATATATAGACTTGTAAATGTATACATTCTCCAAGTTGTATTGTTTGATTAGGTTGGCAAGTAAATTGTTGATATATTTAGATAAACCCATGACCTTCTACGTGATAAGACTAGTCAACAGAACAATCAATAACGAATTAATTAAAACCAGGAGGTACTGAAGTGATAGTAGGTAGTTATATATGTTATTTTAGTCTCGTTATGTCTTATTTTTGAGTTATATAACTGGATTAAACGTTGTGTTTATGTTGCTTGCATAATTTTTCGCGTTTCTAGCATAATTACATAATGAATTACGTAACTAAGATTGTCTCTGTGTCCGACTTGCGATTACGAAAATGTACCTAGATATAGAAAGAAAGAATTTTTTTTTTAATCTTCATGTGCCACAGAGTAATTAAATATTGTTATAGTCTTTGTCTATGTTTTAAATTACATATACAATGTTGTAGGGTTGAAATACTAGATCTAGACTGCCTCGTTGGCCAAGGGTTCGATTTCGGAGTCGGGCAAAGTATTAATGTGATTTTTTTATTTATTTCTCAGTGGTAGCACGGAGTCTAGAATTGTGCCTGGGATATGGCGACATGTGTGTGTAAAGTGGGTGATACATTGTAGTGGCATTAAGTGCTGTAATGTGCATGTCTGCCTACTCTTTAGAGGATAAAAGGCGTGTTGTTATGTCATGATCTAAATAAGAGAGTTTTAGTTTCTTGGGACCCTATGACTGCCTCATTGTCCGAGTGGTCGCAAGTGCGACTGCCGGGCAAGGGGTCTCGGGTTCGATTCCCGGGTCGGACAAAGTATTACTGGGTTTTTCAAAAAATTCCCAGTAGTAGCACGGAGTCTGGAATTGTGCCCGGTATATGGCAATAGGCTCACCCCCTATTACATGGGACTCATAACATAAATAGTGAAAAGTGGGTGTTACTTTGTACAGTGGCATAATGTACACCTCTGCCTACCCCTTCGGGGATAAAAGGCGTGATGTTATGTTATGTTATGTAGTTTCTTGGGACCCTATTATTTTCTTGCTTTGGGTGGGTTATAAAGCAATTACAATGTTGTAGAAATGTACAACTAATTAAAAATATCTGTTTACTCTGCCTGTCACACCCTGATTACAAGCATGACAGCATACTGATTACACTGGTAATCATATCGACAGATGATAAATCAGAATGCAAATATCTTTGTCAGTGTATCGCAGTACATTGATGAAACGTTTCAGTAGCTTGCTTGTTATTGCGTTTTTATCATTAACTGATTGCTTTATTGATTAAGTGGCTACGTGAGTTTTCTGCCACAGAACATGATTATAAAGTTAATATTCTTAACATAACA